TACCAAGATGTGAATCAGTCTTCTAATATCAGGTTTAAAATCAGTAATTAAAAGTGCAAATCAGATCTGAATAATAGTGCAAGAGATGTGTATGTCGAAGAGAAGAGGTAAGAGAAGAAGAAGTCGAATTAATCACCCTTCTCCTCTAACCCTATTTTATTAATCTCCAAAAATTAATGATGACAAGTATGCCCTTAAGTGGGCGGCCAGCTTGGCAATTACATAGAGAAAATAAAACAAGAACAAATAACAGGCCCATTAAGTGAGGCCCATCAACATAAAATAAAAGATAAAAATAAAGGATATTCACACAAGCAGCTGTTAGGGCCCATTCGGCCCATTCTCTTTACAGGAACCACTAGAAACAAGCCTGCACGTGATCTATACAAGTTAGGAATGATTGACATCTATTCCCAACTTGAGGGGGAGTGTTGATAGTTTATTTTAGTTGTCCTGCTTTATTATTATTATTCTTATTATTTTAGTTGTTGGGCCTAGGCTACAACCCATTATTTCTATTTGTTTATAGTGGTTCCAGTTATGGACACCTTAGTGGAGTCATTATGGTCTTTGTACACAGTTTATTTTTTAAATATAAATACAAGTGAGTGGGGCACCAGAACACTTTTTGGCACCCCTTTCTTCTCCCATCTTATTCTTTCCTCTTTCTTTTCTTCTCCAAGAATTTTCTACCCATTTTTCTTTTCTTTCTCTTATTTTTCTTTTGCTTCTGATTCTACTATTTCAATGATAATAATTAGGAGAAATATGCAAACATTGGACAAAAATAAGGCATTAATTTTTGTAGCAATAAACTCATAAAAATTATATGCATGTCAGGCCCATCAATTTTTGTTGTAAATGTAAAATGGCAATAATGATGCAATAAACAAATAACATGCAAATCCAACCTCAGTGAAAGTTAATATCCAAAAGCGTTAGATGGTGTGAGAATAGGGGTCTTTTCCCTCTTCTTTATGTTTTTTGTTCTTTTTAGTTCTGTCCATTCAAGGGAAGATAGGTCCTACCACTATTTAGGAGTTCCATTTATATACCAGCTGACTGGTGGGAAAGATAATTATCTTTCTCCTAATATTTTCTTCCCCTCTTTGTCTCTTTTTGCTCCACTCTTCTTCACACAGCTCAGTTCTAATACAGAATTAACTATTATAACAGAAGAGAACATAAATTCACAGGAATGAACAATGATATCAGGAAGCAAAAAGGTAGAGATCAAAGTAACTTCAAAGATAAAGTGATTAGGTCACATCATAAATCAAAGCATGAGAAGAATTTTGCATACACTATATGTCAAATAGGACATGTGTATTATTATTAAATAATGCCATTAAGATAATAAAACAAAAGAAACAGTAATGCAACCCTACCGATGCACCCAATAAAGTTAAGTACACATTGCTAGTCATAAGCCTTTGTGGTGCTGCTTGGAAAGCCTTTTGTAAAGCAAAAAGTAGAAGAGAAACTTTGTCATCAAACATCGTACCTCCTCCATCATGCAGCCCATTACCTGGAATGTTACTTGTCATATTTGTAGGAGCATGCGAACCAAATTTTAGATGCCCCAATGTCACTACTGCACCCAAAAGACTGATAATCCTAACAACAATTCCATCACCATTATCAACATTATAGACATTATTCCTTGCACTCTCAGAACTTATTGAAAAACTAATACCACCCAAATTCTTCACAAATTGGAGCTCAGAGGCAGATGTCATTCTTTCAATGTTAGTTCCCACAGAAACTGCAAATAAACGCCCTTCACTGTCAAAGGACTGTGACTCGGAACTTTCATCATGAGAAACTAACTCCTTTTCCCCAATAGATCCAAGATCAGCATCCTGACCTCTTTCTTGAATCTTACCGGCATGTGCTCCAGATCCCTGACCCAACACACTTTCATCATCCATTCTGCCAGAACTTTCTAATAAAGAGTCGCCAGTTTTTGCTTCCCGTTGCAAGAGGACAATAAGTGTTTCTATCCCTCCACAAGATATGAATGACTCTGCAATTGTGTGAGCCTTGGATATATTTGGCTGTACCACCAATCTATACATTAGATGTAACACACGTGCAACCTGGAAAACCACATTTGTTAGGAACCTATTTCAAAGAAACTGTCACCTAAATCTAGGATATCATATTCATACCAAGGAATTCCAGATGTGTATGGCAAGATCTTAGTTTAATTTCAGGGTAACAAATTACATATACAGAAAACCTTATAAAGTCATGTCTCAAGTAAAGAGGGTGAAAATGGATTATATAAACTTGCAAAGATAAGAGAAATAAAAGGCAAAGATTTAAATCATATTAGATGCATCAAGTAGAAGATCAAAGAGTCTTGATATAAGATAAAGAAATGAAGGAAACAAGAAAAAGCTATTTGAAAATTTACTAAATGAATATCATATAGAGGGTACTAGTGTGGGAGGGATTAATAACTCCAATATTACTAAAGTTAATAGATCATCATCATCATCCAAGCCTTGTCCCAACTATATGGGGTCAGCTACATGAATCCTTCTTCACCAATCCGTTCTGTTCAGTGACATATCCATCATTAAGTTATGGGCGCTTAAATCATTTCTCATGACTTACCCAAGTCCTTTCGGTCTTCCCCTGGCTCTTCTAGCCCCTTCAGCTTGTAACAAATCACTTTTCCTAACACGTGATGGATAATATTAGGACCGGATGACATCCTAATAGATACCTTGTAAAATTAAAATTTCCAAAGTGAAGGACGCTTTAAACAAGACGAAGAAGGACAGAGCATTAGGACCAGATTACATTCCAATAGAAGTTTGAAAATGTATGGGAAAGGTAGACTTATTATGGCTAACTGAACTTTTTAACAAGATAATGAAAACAAAGAAGATGCCAGATGAGTGGGGGTGTGCAAGTCAGGTATACAATTTGAAGAATTTACACTGCACTAGCCCAAGATTTCAAGCTGGGACCATTCAAATTTTAACAAATTCTGGACCAGATCCTGCCTAAGTTAAACCCCTATAGATTAATGAAAAAAAAAAAAACACTATAGTTCCTATATTAAAAAAACAAAGGTGATATACAAAGCTGCAATAATTATCTTGAAGTAGAATTATGAGCAACATTATAAAACTTTGGGAGAGTAATTGAGCAAAGGACAAAGGTGAAATACAAAGTTGTAATAATTATCATGGGATTAAACTTATGAACCACATTATGAAATTATGTGAGAGTAATAGAGTAAAGGTTGCAACATGAAACAAGTACATCAAAAAACCAATTTGGTTTTACACTAAGAAGATACACCATGGAATCTATCATTTTACTAAGCTGACTAATAGAAAAGTTTAGAGAGAAGAAGATAGATCTCCATATGGTATTCATTGATCTAAAGAAATCATATGATAGAGTACCTAAAGATAATATGGTGAGTTTTGGAAAAGGAAGAAGTGCCAAATGGGAATATGGACCAAATTAAGGACATTTAAGAGAGTGCAACAGCCAATGTCAGAAGGCTTGTGACAGAGACATTCGAGTTTCTAGTTACAATGGGACTTCACTAGGGCTCAGCACTTAGACCTTATTTATTTACTATAATCATTGATGAATTGACTAAATGATGTAAAGAGGCCTCATGGTGCATGTTATTCACTGATGATGAAGTATTAATTGATGAAACCAAAAAAGGCCTCAGGGTGCATCGTTTGGGCATGTGCAGAGAAGGCCATCTACACCACCAGTAAGAAGAAGTGATCTATTATAAGTTGAAGGGGCCAGAAGAGCTAAGGGCAGGCAAAAAAGGATGATATAGGTTGTGGTGAGAAATGATTTAAGGACCCACACTTAAACAATGGATATGGTACAGAATAGGACAGAATGGCAAAACAGGATTAATGTAGCTAACCCCGTATAGTTGGGACAAGGCTTAGAATTTCAATAAATGATTATGAAATCCCAACAGCCTAGATGATAAGAAACTGCAATACTTAATACATTAAAAGTATAGGAAGAACAAAGACAATGAGATCCTCATATGACGTTAAGATTTTTTTTTCTTGTAGGAGAGAGGAAGCAGGTGGAATCAGAACAGGGTGCATGTGAGGTCCTTAAATCATCTAGGCTGTTGAGATGACTAAAAAATAAAGAAATTACACGGGTTGGGTCTCATACCTCCATATAAAGAAATTAGAGAAGACTAAAAATAACAAGAAGAAAGAAAAAGGAGAAAGGATTGCTAGAATTGTGGTTCAAACTAAAAGGGCATTACCCAATGTTGGTCGCAATCACAGACTCACAGTTATCTGGGTCTCGGGAGGGTTAGAATGGGAACGGTCCTAACCTTTGGCATTTTTTGCACAAAGTGGCCACCCTCAGACCTGAACCACATTCTCATACATGCCAGCCCGAGATTTTACCTTAAAACCAAGTAATTGCAGTTCAAAATACGTAACACAAAAAAGGGAAAAAAATATGCACCAATTCCCCCAATCTTATGTAATGGCAAATCACTACCAGAAAACAAAACATGTCATACCTGATTAGGTTGTGGACAGTCAACAATGAACCCAATCAAACAACGAACATAACCAACAGCATATGAAGGAGGTGCTGCTCCAACTAGGAGTTCAATAACAACTAAGAGCTCATCAACCAAAGCATTCACTTCCCCAATGGGGCGTGGTGCCTCATGCTGAGAAAAAGTATTAACAGAGTCCTTCTCACGGATGGTCCAATAGCATCTCCTACAACCATCAAGAAGCAATTGTACAGCATTTGCATCTCGCATAGCTGATGCTTCAGTGAACACCATATCTGCAAGTAAAGAAAGAAGCTTTTTCTGTAGACCATAATTGCATAAGCTCCACATTTTCAGGTCCAACAATAATGTGCTAAAAAGCCGCACTTTGAGAGCATAATTGCTTTTCTGTGACTGACACAAAGAAACAATTGCTACAACAAGTTCTTCATCTCCAACTCCATTCTGTTTTCCAGGGTCAAGTGAAGATAGAGTTTGCAGCAAATAGCTCAAGATTCTTGACAAAATCTCAGGCCCCCCTGTTCGAGATAACTCTTCATTATTTCCTGGATGTTGAACAGCCATGGTAATAATTCTGAAGATCGAAGCAGAAAGAGAAGTTGTGGCTGAAGACAATGGAAAATTTCCATGTTGTGGTTCCAAGCTATCCTGTTGCACATTGCTTACTGTCAAGGGAAGCAAACACATGGGTCCTCCATGGGCCAAGGCCCACAAAGACTCTGCAGGGCGCATTCGTGTAGCAACATGAACTTGCCCAAGAACCTCAGCAGGTCTTCTGTGTGTTCCTGTAACATCATAAGAAGATGATTTCTTTCTCCTTGCAAATAGACAATGTAAAAAGGAATAGATTGACTAAATTACCACAGAGATGAGTAGAGCAGAAATAATTAGACGTTGTTCAGCTAAAATACATAAAAGAAAATTATATGGCATGAACATCAAGCTCCAAAATCCAGCCAAATCCACTGTGAGAGTATGTCCAACCTTAAAGTTAATTGGAGTAAAAGCTGTGTGGCGGGGATAAACAAGGCAGAGGAGGAAATCTTTAGCATAGCTGAAGTTCTGGGTTGTGAGGTGATGAGTGGCCTTTAAATTACTAGGGCTTGCCCCTTGGGGAAAATCCAAATGTGGAGAGTTTTTGGTACCCCCTGTACCCGGTTCTGTAAAGGTTTGCAAAGAAGCTAGTGGGGTGAAAGAGGAATTATATCTCCCTTGGAGGGAAAATTACATTAATGAACTCCACCTTTGCTAATCTACCAATCTACTTCCTCTACATTTAGCATTCCTATGGGTGTTGCTAGGAAACCAGAGAAAATTATGAGGGACCTCTTGTGGGAACCTGGTGGGAATAGCTTGTTTTCTAAGGACATTAATCTTCATCATAAATCATTTTTTATAATGAATTATACATGTGAAAGTAAAAAAGGAAAACCAAAAACTACCAAAGCTGTTTTTTTTATCAGTGACTACCAAAGCTGTTTCTGACACATCAACTTATGCAAACCAAAAGCATAACAATTATGATATGATCTGCATATGCAAAACAAAATATCAGCATATTAGATTTTTCAAGTTGTACCGCCACTTCATCAAAAAATAATCTCCACAGTGCTTGCTTAAAAGGAAACTGGAAATCAGATGAACCAATGGAAGTTCTTATATTGTCTGGTAGGTCAGAAACAGCTTATAATAGTTACTTGTAAAAAGAAAAGCAATGACAAGACAAACAGTTCATTTGGAAAAAGGAAGTGAGGATTTTCTTTATCGAGGAAAAGCGAGTGAAGGTTATTCAATGGATGACCTGCAGCACCAGAAGGAGAAGCATCTGGACAGAAACGCCCAGTCAGTAAATAAGGATGATAAAGAAGGTGCAAGCTTCCTCCAATTTCTGCATCCAAAAGTGCATTTTCTTGTGCCAAACTCCGTAAATGGTTATTTGTTGCTAGCCATGGTAGCCCTGCCCCATTACCAAAAGAAGGCAGCACATCACCCCCTCTAGAAGCCAAACGGAACATCCTCTCTGGACCAATAGGCTCCTTAAATATATAAGTAGGACCCATCTCAGCAAACAGTGGACACTGACGACGACGCCGTTGCAAGCCAGCCATTGTTGGAGGAGGATTTGTCCCAATGCAGCAAAATGCAAGAGGCTTGGAGATCCTGGGGAACTCAAATGGACGACTTTCATACAAAGTGCCATCTATATACAACCTTAACTCACTTTCTGATTTCCCAAGTAGCCCCTGCTTGCAAATATGCTCCAGACCAATAAAATACCAGCACTGTGGCTTGAAAGCATGAGTAAAGTGCAGGGAAGCTTTCTTTCCCCTGCCACTACCACTTTCAACAACCAAAAACTGGGCATGAAAATATGCTTCCACCCCCTGATTATCAGCAGATAAGAAGCTGAACAACCGCGGCATGTGTGTCGTACCTTCACCAGCAAGTGCACTTGCAGCAGCTGCAGCCGACATAGGTGAGGATTTCCCAGATTTAGCTGCAGCAGCTGCAGCAATGGCTGCCGCAGCTGTTGCAGTGTTTAAAGTGTCTGCAAATGACTCTATATAGATCCATGTTGCAAATGCATAACCATTGGTAAATGGCCAGCGGCCATCTCCTGGACCAAGTAACCCAGAATTTTCACCATCAAACTCAAATGTGCATGCTGGACCCCTTGTTTCCTTTCCACCCATAGCCTTTTCCAATGCAAGCATCAAACGGGTTGCCCAAACTGTGCCTAACATCTTTGTGATGACCTCAAGCCACCTATGCAGATCAACTACACTAAGGGAATGTGCTGCTAGGTACTGAATGCAATGGCACAAAGGTGTAACATCCCAGTGAAACTGTTCTGTTGAACCAACTTCCTGAAGAAAGATCTTCTCTGCTGACCCTAAAAGAACTCCTAACAGACCAGCCCCAGAGCACATTGATCTGTTTCTTGTGCAAGCCCTTAATATGGCCAGCAGTCCTTTAACCATACGAGTCCTGGGAGACATCATACCTTCATTTTCACCTTTACAAGGAAGCCAAGGGATAAGCTCACCTGCTGCAATGGCAGCCTTAGAGTTCAGCATCACACTAGGAGGATTATTATCTTCACCCTCCTCAAAACATTCAACACCACCCATAGTTGCAAGAAGTGAGTCTACTACCAACACAGCCATGATGTCAATTTCCTCTCCACTTCCAAACCTCTCCTTGCCACATACAACACCCTTAAGTTTTTCCAAACTTTCATGTTTCCCCATAATAGCAGAATCCACCAAATGCAAGAGTTCTGGGGACACATTGGGCACAACAGCTCTATGTCTAGATTTTGTAGGTGAATCAACAGACGAATAACATCCAGCTTCTCCATAGAGACCTGCGGAAGAACCAAAACTAGCTGAAGAAGAAGAATGTTTGATAGCCCGCCCAGATTGTCTCTCAGACATTGAACTCAAATTATCTTGCTCTTGTATCTCACTAGCTAAAGTAATGTCCAACTGTGACACAGGTTTATCAGTAAAAGATTCTGATGCCTCCTCATTACCAGATGACATGCTCACGTTATCCAAGTTAGAAGGCCGAACTGAGTCCACATTTCCCCAAGAATCTGACATATTCCTCTCTTGATCTTTCAAGGACACCTGCTCAAACTGGTCTTCTTCATCACGTGGTTCATTCTCCTCTTCAGAAGTTCTGCCTGTACTTGCAGAAATCAACACTTGAAAGACCTGATTACTTTCCAGCTTATCCCCCTCGTTGTGCATCTTGTAATCTGCTCTTTCACTTTCCCCTCTGCCAGTTTCATTAACAAACTTGCCCCTTTCAGAGGCTTTTGGAGAAATTTCTCCCGATTCTTGCGCAACCTCTTCCATCCTATTATCTTTGAGCTAGCTATCCCTCATTCGCAATATCCACAACTAAAGGACAAAAGTAAATTAAACTGCAAAACGTTGACCAGAACCAAAAAGAGAAGAAAAACATTAACAGTTCCGCTAACTATTATCAAAGATAATAAAAAATGATGAACTGCAAAACACACTAACCTCCACCCTTTAGCTCAAATTCGAAGTACTCATCTTGATGAATTGAAGCTCATCTGCCTGAAATTGAAACTTGACAAAATATATAAACAGAGAAACAGCTTCAACTGCAAATCTTCAACAAAACCAAACGCAAATAGATGAACCCAACTGTCACGTCTCAGTAAGGGATCGGCATTCATGTGGGCTTTCATCAAATGCCAGAAATCAGAATGAGATGAGAATTACAAGCTGATTGACTTTGGACACGAAAATGTAAGGAATGTACAAGAAATCGGATACCACAAAACATGGTCTATTTATCAGAAACAGATGACCAACGATCAATCTAGCCTCTACTAAAAGCAAGCAAATGCAATTTATCAATAAATAAAATGTAAAAAGCCAAACAAGAACTGAAACCGTGGGATCAGACCAAATACTGGGCATTGACCGCGCCTCGTTGAAAAAAACAAACACTCGGTGACAATCTAAACAGATCCATATTCCATACCCAAATATCCATTAAAGATGAAAATGCAAGCATGAAGTAGTAAATTCGTGGGGGGAAAGGAAATAGATATAGAAATAATACCTTAATTCGACTCCACTTTGTAACGGAGCTTTCTATGTCAAGCTTCTGGAAACAATAGGAAAGAGTCGGCAAATGTATTGGTAGGTGCAGGTTTTTCCAGGGTAAGAAGCAACAAGCAAGAAGAGGGAGATCGGAGGGTCGAAACAAGAGGCGAACCGAGCGCGAGAGTTAAGAACCAAGGACTATGGTCCGCCCCCCTCTTACATCAGCACTGGTGTTGGTGCGAGTGTTTTCTTTGGTAGAACACAAATCCTAGCTTGGCAATCCATGACTATTGACTACTCTCCTCCAGTCGAGAGCCCCAGTCCAAATACTGGGAAAAAATATAATATTTAACTTTACGTTACCACAGCTTTTTTATCTTCTAACCACGTGGTTTGTGACTTTTTTTTCTTTTAATCAAAGGGTAGCCCGTCTTCCAGACAGATAATCCACCGGACCAGACCCGGTGAATGCGGGATTCGATCCAAGTCTCCGCTACGACCAAACCGGAGGCCCCTTGCCAACGAGCCACGTGATTCGTGACATGGGAGTCTGGTATTTGGACCCACCGCTTACTTACTGTTGTCTCCCTAGTCCCTCCTCGGCTTGCGAACGAGATTCCTTGTATTTAGAAATTTTATCGCCAGATGCATCGTCGAGTTTTCTCTCGGACAATTTGTTGAACAGATGGCTGGGATGGTTAGACTGTATTGATCATGAGGCCAAATCCAACAGAACAGTGGTTCGTTGCAATCGCGCCCCCCTATATGCATTCTACTTCTGCATGAAACGTATTTATTGCCGGAACTCAGAAGCGGGTCAACCACCGTATAAATTATATAGGTATATGTAATAATGGGAAGTGGGAAGATATTGATAGTGTATTATGGGTTGAATTGAATATTCCAATTACTTATATTTACTGGTGTATATAGTTGTCTACTTGGCGCACGCGGTATTAATTAGAGGATTTAAGATTTATCAATTTATTTACATTATGGCATACCTGATTTCTTTCTAGCTTAAGTAATAAGGATGATCATGGGACCGGCCGGCCTGGGACTGGCCCGACCCGCACCTGGCCTGATAATGGCCTGGGCCTGAGTCGGGCATATGGGCTTATATAATCAAAATTATGTCGTGTCGTGACTCGGTAGGAGGATTGCAAACTTCGCCATGTTCCTCGGCAGTTGAATCAGGCAATTCATCCCTTCATGAATTAGCTACGAAGGCCAAGCTTCAATGAGGGGATGGGCTACTCCCGTTGTGTAGCCCCGCGAAGCCAGAAAGAATCCTTTATTTATGATTCCCCCTTTGTAATTCTGGATTGGATCAAATATCTGGCTTTGCTGGGCTGGGCAGGCCTGGAAGTGAAATAGCTACTTGTGCCCGAAAATATGTGGGCCGGGTCATAAATGATCGTTCCTTAGATGTCAATTGATCCGGTTAAGTGGCAAATATTTGACCACCCTAACGGGTTAGAATCATCTATCGAATAAAAACAAGGGGGGATTATAATCGTGGCAGTCCTAAACTATGGATCATGTCCGGTTAAGGTGAACCCACACCAAACCTGACCCATTTACATTGTGCCATTAAACCTTTGTATACATGGCCTGAATTGGGTATAGTATATGCGTGATATCCAAGTAGGTTAGACAATTTTGGTGCCATAGGCCGGGTTAGTTTAGGATGTATCATGTTCACATGCCCAACAGGGATGTGTGTGGCGCGTACAACATGAAAAACCTGCTTTTCCATGGTTTTGAATCTATGCCTTGATAATTATGCCAACTAACAATCAATGCAAATTCATCTATTTTTCGATATGTTTTGGGGAATGCAACAAGGGGGATTTGTAATTAACAATGAACCTGAATTTGGAGGTTAGTTGAGGCTGACCATCCTTTTCAATCTTTGTTTACTTTATCTCTACTCAATGTAATAAAATTATTCTTCGTTGCTGAGTTTCTATTCTTTAAGATTAAGTTTACACTTATGAAAATCATGGACAATTATCACGGAAATACAGTTGCTAGTTGCTATGGAACCTAGTGAGTTACCCTAGGATAATTTTTACTTAAAAAAAAAAAATCACCTAGGCAACTACAGAGCAAGATACCAGAACAGAATTAATAAGCAATATTTCAGATTGGGGTGGGGGTTGTTAAATGATTCATAATACAATCTAGGCAGTTCAACAATTTAAAATGTTTGTAGCAGTCTAGCAGATGTGCACACATATTGAATGGGACCAACTTCAGAGATTGGATGGGCTAATAATAAGCCAAACCAATGACTGCCAACCTGTAATTATATACATGTTATTTTTGAAACAGAATATATAACTATATACATATTATTGGGTTCATTTGTCTGGTGGTAAAGAGCTCTACTGCAACTTAAAGGATACCTGGAAATGCAAAGGTTGATTATAATATATGCAATCTCCTATGAAACCTATTGGACGCATGGTGTATCAGGGTCCCAAACCATCTACAAGTCTTAGAACATATCAGCTGAAAAAGTTAGAAATGAATAAATACACTGAAGGGAACCAATAGTTTGGTTTACTTTTGAGCAATAAATACCATAAGTTCGAGAGTAGAAACGTAGAATATAAAACCTGATTGCAAGCTCTCCTTGCTGAGAGTAAAAACAAAAGGAAGAGGAATCAATACCGTAAGAGAACATCGAATAAACCGGATGTATGAGAAATTTAGAATGAAGAGTTGATCGGCTTCCTTATAGTATTGCCGCAAGAGGTTGCGCATCTTGCCGGTAAGTTGAGCATTCTTCGTACCGGCACCCATAAAAACCAAGGATATTATTGTCACCTCCACAACCGGCAAACCTTTTCTTCTAAAAATTTTAAAATTTAAGGATATAGACATTCCGTGCCGCTTCCAAATCTGTATCACTTCCGAGTCTTCTTTCCACGCCCATGCCATTCACCTGGCAATAATATCTAATTAGAAATAGGTGGAGAAGAAAAAGCTTAAGAGTGTATACAGAAGAAATGGATTAGAGTGGCTCATTCTGGACTCTAGCATATGCGAGGCCATGGCTGTTCACTGCTACGATTCGAACGCTTGAATCAGTTCCGCGAATGCAATTTCCTGAAAGTGGTAATGCATACAGGTCCCGGTGATGATAATTATTAATAAATTTAGAAAAATTACAAACAGAACAATGAAAATATAGCAATTAGAACCCACACACCCACAAAAAACATCCATTCAGTTATCCTATAGAATTAAAAGAAAACGGAACTGAATTAAGCACGGGATGTTTCCTATACTTACATTGATATCGAAAACCGGGTACAAATGTAACGCACAAGAGTCAGTAAGTCGGTCGCCAAAAGTAGTATTTCTATTAATTATCTGAAATATTAATTTTAATATGAATTATCATTATCGAAAATTATTAGATATATTAATGTAATATTAATTATCATTAACTAATCATTTTGATTCAATTGTTGTTTTTTGAATAATATTAATTATCATGGATGATTAATTTTAATAACCATTTTGATAATTTTAATATTGATTGATTAGTTAAATAATTAGTATAGGTAATTTTCCATAATTTAAAGGAAGTAATATAATGATGGTTTTGTTAATAATAGTTTCCTAAAAATTATGGTAAATTGTTCATGTTAATAATTTTTTATAATTATTAATAKTATTTCTAGAATTATTAATTATTAACAATAATTTGGGTTAGGGGTGTTCACATTAAATGTCAAACCGACCAAATTGGCCCGACCCAACCCGAGTTGGTCAGTTTTTCAAAACCACCGATCAGTTTCAGTTTGTGTGAGAAAATAAACCGACAACTTGGTTCGGTTTCGACTTTCATGTATGAAAATCAAACCGATACTTTGTTTATGTAATCACTAATTAGTCCCTACCTTATATGTTAAATGCTGATATATTTTATTATGGTTACTTATAATAAAAAAAAAAACGTAAAACCAATACAAATATAATATAATGGTACAATATTTAGTTCAGTCTTGTATAAATTTAAATATATATTGACAAAAAAAATTCTGTTTTATACAAGATAACTAATCAAAATTAAATATATATTTCGATTTTGCATAAAAACTAAAAAAATAAACTTAAATATAAATAGTTATTTTGATATAAATATTTCAGTTTAAAATATATTTAAAATTTGACTAAATCGATAAACCGACCCTTCATGTTTGTGTCGGTTTAACTTCAGGGTCGGTCAGTTTCAATTTAACCAATAAGTAAACCGGCAAAGTCGGGTTGATTTAAGAAAATCACTCAAATCGACCCAACTCGATCCATGAACACCACTAATTTGGGTTGGTGGGGCCACTATTAACTAGGCCTAAGTTGACAAGTGTGGTCAAACCATTGTTAATTGGGCCTGAGTTGATAGAATGAATGACAAGTTGGTCGGGACTGAGTTGTTTGGACTTAGAAAACGGTGTAAACTGATTGGCTAGACTGAATATAACTAATGTAAACATGGATATGGATTGGGATCCGGTTTGAATTGTCCAAACCCGACGCAATATCTCCTTCCTCACTTTTTTTAGCTACAATGGTCATTCGCGATCACAATAACAAAACAAACTGGTATTTAAAAAAAAAAGCACATTTTTTTACAATGTTTTAGCTCCTAAAGATAGCCAAAGGTTATGTTGGCCAATATTTTCATGAAAAAAATCCCAAAATATCAAGTTGTTGTGTTCAGCTATAGTGGTTGTTTTTCATAGTAACTTGGCTGCCAAATATTGCCCAAATAATGGTTCGCCCATTATTTATATCAAAACGATTTTAAATTGGTGCAAAGAAATACCTCAAAGTTTGTATTTTCTTAATAATTAAGAGAGGAGACCAAGGTGTTGCAACATGAGTGAACCAGCTCCACCCTATTTTTTTCATTCAAAACGGTGAGGGAAGTTGGGAAGAAAAAAAACGATGAGGGAAGAGGGATATAAAGAATAAATGTTGCTTAATTTGTCCAAAACAATAAGAGACAATGGGAAAAAACAAGGCAATAATTTCAATTTACAAGGATGGAGAGAAATTTGGATATAGAGAGGCGTGAATGGCGTTAGTTTCCTATTGGATCATGATTTACAATCTTGAAAGATTTTGTTTCTAAATTTTTGGGGCATAAAAGAAAAAGATTGCCATGCTGAGGTGCCAATTCCTTAGGCTCTCAGAGTGAATAATGTAGATTCTCTAGAATGTAGGGTTGGGGTAAGGGAGCAAAGAGAGGTCATCTTATGTGGCCATCATTGTTTTAATATATATTAATAGAATTTGTTACAAA